CCGGATTTAGGTTCGTGAAGTACGTGGCCAATTGAAGGATATCATGAACCAACAGAAAATGGCGCTGAAGTCGTGCGGCAACGATTGGGATATCATTAGAAAATGTATCTGCTCCTCGTACTTTCACCAAGCCGCCAGATTAAAGGTAAAATGTTACATCAAGAAAGTACTTCTATACTAGATTCAAATCACCTTAAGTTTAACCTTTCACTGTTCATCTGTTTTTATGCGTTAGAGGTCACTGTTTTTTTTTACGACTTAAGACGAAGTAAGTTGCTTTAGAATAAGGGTCTCACAAACCAAGATGCGTTTTATGAAATGAGCCTCGTCAAAATTCGTATGACACAGTGATTTTGATCTGAAATATCTATCATTTAGTAATGATGTCTGCTTTTCGCGTCAATAACAACCAACGATAGAAATAGACGCCCAAAACAGTACAAGCTTCGTCGGATGTTTAACTGCGGACCAGAAGTCCTTTTTATATTAATGGTTTGCATTTTGGTTGCAGGGCATCGGAGAATACGTCAACATGAGAACAGGAATGCCGTGTCATCTTCATCCCACCAGTGCTCTGTTTGGTATGGGATACACACCCGACTACATTGTTTACCATGAGCTTGTTATGACCTCTAAGGTAAGACCACAGATATCTAGTCACATGATACCTATGATATGGGAGAAGTTCTAACTCCGGCGTTTTTTTTGACCGGAGTTCTCTTGGCTTGGCCTACCTGTTCTCAGTCAACCTCATTGCTGAGTGTCAGGGACCACTGATATGGACACAAGCTCTCATCTTGTTCTGTTAGTCGTGTATTCCACATTTGACCATCACCACCTAGGGAGACCTTTCCTACCTTCTTAGGTTTGCGTCAGGAGTGCGGAATGGTACAACTAATTAGTTAGGTATGCAGACATGTTTCTCCTACCTTATTTTGATTTGTCTCTCAACTCTTTAACACAGGAGTACATGCAATGTGTCACAGCTGTTGATGGCTACTGGCTGGCAGAACTGGGACCCATGTTTTACACAGTGAAAGAATCCACAAAGACGAGGCTGGTTAGTTCGCTTAGTGTACTTTAAACAGGCTTTCAGCATCTNGGGTCAGGCCCCCCAAATCAATCAAAGATAAACTTTTGTTTCCCTTGTAATCAAGTCACTTAGATCTCTTAGAGTATTCTATCAGGGGTGCATACTTTTCAATTGTCCACTTTTCTTGGTTTCCGATTGAGGTTGGTTCCACCGTACCTACTATTGCGTACAGCGCTATGCTGAGGTTATTCGGTTTCTATAATATCGAGGAAACGTTGCATTTCTTCATTGTCGACAAAATGTTTGCATAGTGGTAACAGATATCATTAATTGAGGTTCTGACAGCGTCTCTTCATCATCTTTGTGTCGTCTAGGAGAAACGAAAGCGTGCCAAGGAAGACTTATCGGCTATGGAAGAAGAAATGGCGGCGGCCAGTGCGCAGATGAAAGCGCGAGAAGAGGAAAAGCTTGCCAAACTAACTCCTTCAGTAAAGTAAATTTACATCATGAATTTCCTATCTGTCCGCATCTATAGATCACTAGTATAGGTCACAATTATACAATGTTCTCTGGCTGACCAACACTTACATGATAAATATTTTTATTTGGTTTCTTTTACAATTGCAGAACACATATCGCAACTCCAGGACGTAAAACACCTGCAACTCCACGCCGCACGCCGTACAGATTTGGACTCTGAAGGCCACTGATCGATTTTGTATGTACAAGAGGTTTTCGAAAGAGAGAAGTGAAAATGAATCCTCGTCGTTTTTTACAAAGGACTGGTCAAGCTAACTTTGGAAATAAACTACAAATGTACCCGACACGATTTGCGGGAAAACCCGTATACATGACTCTGAATTCTCTGACACACCTTTTAAAGATCTGAACTTCCCCACAAGTTACCCGTGTCAACAGCAACTGAAAACATTTCATAAAGACATCACATTGTGATGTTACATGTTCCAAATCTCACCACTTCAATTTCCTGTCCATAGTTACTTTTCTTTTGTCCTAGTATGTGAGAACCGCCCGTTCTGTCCAGGGTAGTAGCTAATTTCCGAAGGAATACTGAGTACCTTTTTTTGTACAGTTGTAAATAAATGTACAGCTGGCACTTTTTTATTTTATTGTCCCTTTCTGTAGTCTTAAACTTGTTCGCAAGGGCGTAGCCAGAGGGGTCCTGGGGTGCCCATGACCCCCCTTGGTAGGCCTTCTTTTGATCAAACAACCTACAATATTCAGGTGGTGAAAACGCCATGACAATATCTTGGTCTTCCCACTATACTCTCACTGCTCATCCCAAAACTGTAACATTAAGTAAAACATGCACAGCGGAGAGGTCGACATGACAATCTGGTGAGTAGCCTCTGTGACCCTTCTTTGAAAAATCCTGGCTACGCCAATCTTCATCCCGATTTTCAATTTTTTTTTCAATGAATTCTAAAGAAACGGGATTAATTCTGCGAATTCATCCGCAAGTGGCTATCACGCTAAGTTCCTATGTGCCGTCTTTACCCCGATTTCCCATTTGATCAGTGAATTCGAGAAAAACGCGGTAAATTCTGAGCATTCGTGTTACAAGTGAATAATACCCGAAGTTCCCGTATGCTATCTTTACCTCGAATTTCCAATTTTGTTTCTGTGAATTTGACAAAAAACGGGGTAAAACCTGAGATTTCATCCTCCAAATTAAATAGATCCCAAGTTGCCATATCCAAACCCGATTTTCCATTTTTTTAATGAATTCTAGAAAAACGGGATAAATTCTACGAATTCATCCGCAAGTGGCTGACACGCTAAGTTCCCATATGCCATCTTTACCCAGATTTTCCATTTGATCAGCGAATTCTAGAAAAACGGGGTAAATTCTGTGAAATTCATCCTTCAGGTGGAACATATCCTACTTATGCAGTAAATGGTTTGAACCCGGGGGTAACATGTGAAGGTGTAGTCTGATCGTCCGGGTGAGTGTAGTCCTGAGAAGGACTGTTGTCGGTGGCAGTGACTGACGTTTCGACAACCTGTGCGGAAGTCATCATCAGAGTCAAGTGAGTGATTGTTGTCAGTAGAATGTTCTTATTCCAGTTCGTGTGAAATGATCGGTTGGTTTTGCCGTGATGTTATTGGCTGTAAGACTCAAGTGACGTAAGTCGTTCGTGATTGGTCTGTTTCGGTCTGTCGGTAAAGCTAGGTTGTTCTTTTTCGGTCGTTTGTGATGTTTATGTCGTGAATGAGTCGTTTGTATGGGGCGGGTAGTTGTTGACATCTGTTTAGGGGAGTCTGTTCTAAGTTAGTAAACCAGCTTTCCAGAGTCAGTCGTTGAAAATAGTCAGTGCTGTAGGTTAGGCATTGCGCAGAGTCCCAGTCAATGTTGTGGTTGGTAAGTCGATGGTGTTCAGCAATGTGATTGCTGACATCACCTTTCCTCGTCGCCCGTCTGTGTTCAGTCAGTCTTGTTGTGAGGTTTCTGCCAGTCTCACCGATGTAGGAGGCTTGGCAGTCGGAACAATTGTAGGTATGTCTGAAAACATCTCGCGCATCTTACTACCCTTCAATATCCGCGTCGCCCACAAACCCATCACCACACTACGTCAGTTACTAACCAACGTTAAAGACAAAGACGAACCGAGGAACAGACAGGGAACGATTTATAAGATCAATTGTTCCGACTGCCAAGCCTCCTACATCGGTGAGACTGGCAGAAACCTCACAACAAGACTGACTGAACACAGACGGGCGACGAGGAAAGGTGATGTCAGCAATCACATTGCTGAACACCATCGACTTACCAACCACAACATTGACTGGGACTCTGCGCAATGCCTAACCTACAGCACTGACTATTTTCAACGACTGACTCTGGAAAGCTGGTTTACTAACTTAGAACAGACTCCCCTAAACAGATGTCAACAACTACCCGCCCCATACAAACGACTCATTCACGACATAAACATCACAAACGACCGAAAAAGAACAACCTAGCTTTACCGACAGACCGAAACAGACCAATCACGAACGACTTACGTCACTTGAGTCTTACAGCCAATAACATCACGGCAAAACCAACCGATCATTTCACACGAACTGGAATAAGAACATTCTACTGACAACAATCACTCACTTGACTCTGATGATGACTTCCGCACAGGTTGTCGAAACGTCAGTCACTGCCACCGACAACAGTCCTTCTCAGGACTACACTCACCCGGACGATCAGACTACACCTTCACATATCCTACTTACTTGCCATAGCTATCTTTATAGCTTTACCCCGATTTTCGATTTGATCATTGTGTGAATTTGTCATAAACGGGGTAAATTATGACAATTCCACCCAAAAGTGCGACAAATCCAACAATGATTTAGAAACAGTATTAAACAAAGAACAGCTAAAATCAGCGGAACCGCAATGAAATCACATCACAAGGCACTACTTCAAAAACCTACAATATTCAAAATAAATAACTGAAGGCCAAACTTCTATGATTGAAGGAAGACTTCGTGACGCAGACAAATTATCACAACTTTGACCTCTCAGTCTATCCATAGTTAATACTATGCCCATACCAAGCACGGGAAATGTTTGGGTCTTCTGAGAATTCGAAACGCACGCAGAACTTTAATTTGAAAGAGTAGCTACTGATTTTGACATCCACGTGGAAGCTGATTACTTAAGAAGCGGACTTTCGTATTTTCAATCCTTATATAATATCGCCTTGCTTTCAATCGTCATTTCTTGTATTTTCCACTTGAAGAGAGCTCTTCTAGTCGGCTCCATTGTTTTCTAATGTGGTTACGCTTTCATTTTAAATCAACTGTCTGTCACACCCGTTTTCCCATTTTTTTATTTTATTTTCAGCAGCACAGTTTGTTCACAAAAATTGTTGTTGTTGTTAATTTCTTTAGCATAACAGCCCTGATTGCAGGTTGAAAATAATCTGATGAAATTCTCATAATACCCATCGCCTCTATCTTCTCCCTTCAAACGCAGGTAACGTCTCATATCGTCACATAAAACTACAACTAATGGCAATTGCCAAATAAATGTCTCAATATAATCCACAGACACCGTTTTAATCTTGTGCAGGCCTCATCTGTTTCACAATCTTTCTCATCATTTCCCTGAAAAAAGAAACAAGGTTAAAAAAGGGAACAGTAAAATGTCTACTTGAAGGTGAAAAAAGTGTAAATCAGTCTCAAAGTTCGTCGCTTTTGCCAAAGTTTGCTATTTGATAGTTATACAAATGTCGCGCCACCTTCTAAACCAACCTAATCAGATTTCGAACTAAGACCAAGCGTGACTGAGGCCCTCACGTTTTCCTGTAGTCACGAGTCCTTTCTAATCTTTCGTAGAAATGTCACGCAACGCTCCACCCAAAAGAGGCTTCTTCCAAAAACATTGTATGACATCTAGGAGAAAGCCCACGAAGGACATAAATGTAGCCACTCTTATTTCAGTTTTCTTATTTTTACTTGAGTTCTTCCCTTCTCTTTATGCAATTTTCCTTCGTTATAATTCTCACTATGATTATTCACATGTCAGGGTTTTACGACTCTCGCTCGATTTGCGCTCCATGCGAGGTTCCTAGCGAGAAAGAATGGCAACTAAGGAATTTTCATCACCTGATCGCACTAAGTTTTTCTTCGACTGACTCCCATGGATTGCGATCTTCATTGAATTCAAGAAGCTCTAGAAAAAAAAAATCGTAACAAGTTAGAACATAAGGAAACTTCGGCGACCGTCATTACATTTGACTGCATATTACCTTCTGCTTAATGCACCAGTCAATTGAAATCCCCCGCACCCTCCCCCCGCTGGGGACTACCCGGGAACATAGCGGGGATTTCACTTCATTTTCACCTATATTGCGTGCCCTGGTGGTCGGGGGAAGCACTCAAATTCACAGCTTCGCTTTGTACCCCGGGGACTAGAGCGGGGGTTACACTTGCGCATCTGGGGACTGGGACAGAGCTATTTGGTTATATCAACTAAGTTGAAATTGTAAATTGGCCACCGTAACGAGTAAAAAAGGTGACGTTTCGAGCGTTAGCCCTTCGTCAGACAGAGTTAGCTCCTCGTGGTATGGATCATGGCGGTCGACGAAGGCAAAACGAGGAAGGTGAGATTCATATCGCTTTCTGTATGCTTTTTCTGAGTCATCGATTGAAAAATTGCTTTTCCTTCTATGCTATGATTTACTTTCTTTTGTTTTATCTTTGTTTTCTTAACAATATGATTGATTTTGGCTGCTATTTAACGCTTGATTTATTCTCTATATAAACAAGCTTCTTTCAACAATGGAACTAACCAATACTTGACCTCTCACTTTCTTTTCTTTTGTTGTCTTTATATAGTGCTTGGAGAGTCGAAAAGTCTGAGATAAGAAATGATGAAAATGAAATTGAAGAATATATCAAGAGCTTGTTTCAAATCCCGAAAAATTGTAAACTGAGTTACCAAAAATATGACCCAGAATGGGAAGAGTGCTGGATCGATACCACCTTGGCAGATTGCTTTGATAAGGACAAAGTCAAAGTAATTTCCAATGGAAGTCATTGTCAGGAGGTTTGTCAAATGAATGACTGTGAGAAGAAGAAACAGAAGAAGAGAAAGAGGAAGTGGTGAAGGTGAAGGCAAAGTGAAGGTAAGGTGGCGGGGGAGTTCACCTTTAAGTTTTGCCCCGCAGAGCGGGGTTATCCCTACATTTTACACGGAGAAAAAGTGATGTCCCAGAGTAATCCCCAGAGGAGGGTGTGGGGAATTTCAATTGACTGGTGCATAATCAACAAATCACCTTGATGAGAGACTTTCTGCTCCCTACCGTGGCAGATTTCTATAAAGCTCTCGCTAACAAAACAAGGGGGGAGGTAGGAGGTATAAAGTACGCGGTCCCATTCTCATTTTCACACTCCACCCCATGCAAACGCCATAGTTGTTCTCTTTTCAATCTCTACCCCCCAAATGACACTCAACTGATAACACTAGGAGATGATATGTCTTAACAGGCATTCTCAATCCCACGTAATTCACTATCGACCTTTTGCGAGATTCATTTCACTGATCCAGTCTCCCTCCTTGTAATACTTCACACGCAAATTCTGCAGAGAGAAAAGTCGTAGTAAAACAGATCAATTACCTATTCCGGTCCGACCTCGCATTCTAAAGCACTCGCACGCGCAGTACATTTGCGCTATTGCATATGGTCTCAATTACAAAAGGCGGTAAGGGCCTCTCATTGCTCGATTCTCGTTAACAATTAAATACTTACCAGAAAAGGAAATCTTTCCATCCGAGTGAGTTGTAAAATACGATTTACGTCATACTCCAGACGGGCGACTTTCTTGGCCTGAGTGTAGGTCGTGCTCATTTGTGCAATGAGAATGTTGAGAAGAATCACAGTCACTGTTCCCATGTACACAAGCATCAACAGAACTGACAGCCAGCTGCAGGACAGAAGTATTCCCAAAGTATGGCTTGTTATATTTAAGTTCAACAACACAAGGGGGAGGGGGGGGAGGGGAAGTTTAAAGTACGCGGCCCCATTCTCATTTTCAGGTTAGTTCACCGCATGGCAACACCATAATTGTTCTCGTCCCAATCTCTACTCCTCAAATATATATACATATATCTAATTAAATCTGCCTGATGAGTGCTTAACTCACGAAACTCAGAGTTGCAGTGAATCATGTGCGTTTCCTCCTAGTCACTTAAATGTTATATACCGCTCTACACAGATGGGTATCGAGCTCTTTTTAACAGTGCTGGCTACAATTCACAATTAGTATATTTAACAATTATTCCACGAGCGCGCGTTGGATATGAGATGATAGATAGCCAACGAGGCGCTACGCGCCTCGTTGGCTATAATCATCTCATATCCAACAAGCGCGAGTGGAATAATTGTTTTATTAAAAACGCCCCCATTCAGTCAAAGATTGGAAGCGAACGACTGTGAAAATTCATCGTTCGTCCAATCAGAGATACGAACGATAG